GGCTTGGCTTGGCTTGGTTTGGTTTGGCTTGGTTTGGTTTGGTTTGGTTTGCTTGGCTTGGTTTGCTTTTGCTTGTTTGATTGTTTTTGTGTTGTTTGGTTCCAGTGCCTTGTCTTTGGAGAGGGGGAGTAGCCCAGTGCTTGCTAGCCCCGTGCTTCCAGGCGCGCAAAGAAAAAAGTGTCACCCGTTTTGTGGCAATTGAGAGTCTTCAGCTCCGCAAGGGACCCCAAAATGAAAGGCGATCACCTTTTCGGTTGCCATGACTAAAAACGGGAATCCAAGGGCAAAACAAAAAATGAAACGGTCGATTCGCTTTGTGGGTTGCCACGAACCCATTTTGATGAATGGCCAACCATTGTTTGAGGGTCCTGACCGGAGATTCCGGGAAGATTTTGTTATTGAATATGGCCCTAAAAACATTTGGTTGGTTAAGGCCTCAGGACAAAAATATGTCCAGTAGTGATGAATCCCTTTTTAAAACCAACAAGGGAAAATAACAAAGTATTCTTAAGCAAATGGAGGAAGGTGAGTGGTCTCCGCCTGGGTAGACCAATCTCCCAGAAACAGGTACTCAAAGGACCATGGCTTGGGGGACAGTCCGGTCCTCGAAGAGCACGTGCCGGAATTCGGAAGTGAGAGGTTGCACAGCGACCCCTACATGACATCTCAAAGCGGTTCCAAGGTCCAGCTCGATCAACAAGCTACTACAATACAGTATTCAATATAGCCCAGTGCTACCACGCAAGCCACTATAGTAGGTAACCCTTCAGAATTTCGCCTCTAGAATTCACATTACTTCCTGTGGGTACCTACTCTTGTGGCTTGCCTAGAAGCACTCGGCAAAACAAAAACGCCAAGTTTGGTTAGAGAGTCCCCCATCTCCCAACTAGCTGCGTGTTCCGTTGGTGCGGTTCCATCCTCGCAGCTTTCTCGCGGCCGGAGATTTCCTCTACCTTCGGCTTCGGGGGGAGGGGAGGGGTTCCCCAGTTCCATTTCAGCTCCCATTTTTGGTTTCCATTGGTGGCTTGCTAGAGAGCGGCTTTGCATCTACCAAGTTTCTTCAGGGGTGCAAATCCCGAACCACCAATCCAAAGCACCAATTCAGGCTAACCTGGGTGTGGCTCAAAATGAAACGATCGGAGGGGCTGGCAAACCGCAGGTTTTCCATATTTCCACTTACCAGGGCTTGTTTTTCCATTGTGGACTTCCGGTTTCTTGAGCCACAGCCTGGCCATTTTCTGGTGCCAGGAAAGGGGCCCCGAAGCGGGCCCACGGAGTGATTCGGGCCCCGGCGACAGCATGCAATCTTGGCTCTCATCGCACTCCTAGATCGAATCGGTACGAGCCCATGGGGTCTTTTACCAACAAAGAAACCCACAAAATCCAAAGCATCGCACTCCATGGAACGTGTGGACCTGCATTCTCCTTCTGACCCTCAACTGGGGTCATGACCCTTTCATTTGGATAGTGACCAAGCATTTGTTCAGGCTCATAAAGACTCCACCTATGTTTTTGTCCGTTGAAGATTGGCATACAAGTGGATACTCTTGAATCGAGGAAGATCAACCTCCCAGAAACCTGGGTACCTGGATGGTTTGGTCAACTTCTCCCAAGTCCAAAATTGAGAATCCGATTCTAAGGGATATTATCGTGAAAAACAATCCAGATGTCTATGCTCGCCAATGGTGCACAGATTCTGGAAAGGGTCAAAGAGGCTTTCAGTAATTCCGTTTACCTGTATGGTGGGTCGCCAAGGGATCCCTTTTGAAACCTTGAAGAAGAGTTGGCTTGCTTCCTACCTTGAACAAGTTGGCATGGTTGCTGCCAAACAATGTGCTGAACACCTCCAAAACAAAAAACACACACTCACACAGTTCGCACGTGAACAAGATCATCCAAACACTTCCTTAGGCACACAAACCAAACCAACAAACCGCTACGCCTTTGCAAAGCAAATCTCAAAGCACCCCAGCACTTCCCGGCGTTTCGCCACTAGAATTGGTAACCCCTTCGGTATTTTGACTCCTTGGATGGTTTTACCATGGCTACCTATAAGGGTAACCGGAAGCACTGGGCACAAAACAGAAGCACGGCACTCCTCACTTCCTCAGTGGATTGGCAGCAACAAGCAAACTTGATATCTACCTGGAGTCTCCTTCTGACCCGAAAAACAATGGGTCAATGACCAACCATTTTTTTTCTTCGGGTCAGATTCGGAGTCTCCAGGTACCACTGACTTGGTTGACGTTGGAAGGGGAGCAACAAAATGTTTTTTAGCAGTTAAGTGGGATTTCAACCACTAAACCACAATAAGCAAAAATGTAAAATGTTTCCCAACGACAACCATGCTGACATGGTTCAGCCCTGAAAAGTTTGAAGTCCAGGAGCTCAGGAAGTGAGACTCCACGGAGCAAAGCCAGCGATCCGGCTTTGTCAAAACCGCCGAGGCTTTGAGTTTGGGGACCTTCAAAGCCTCGTTGAAGATGTCCAAACCCCACCCCATTGGTTTGCTTTACCCGGGAATTCTCTGAAAACACATCGCCTGTGTTTGCTTAAGCCCCCATGAGTAAATATGTCCAGTGGATTTCCTTTAAAGCCAACAGGGAGGATCAGAAAATGCTCTAAAACCAACAGGGGAAACATACATATTCTAAAACAGGGCTGTGGGAGATGCCACCTTCTGTGATACAAGCAAAAGGTCCCCCAAAGACTACCGCGCCGTGTACAGAGGGGATTCCCTTGTATCACAGAAGTGGGGATAACCCCTTGATCCCACAACCCTGCTCTAAAACCAACAGGAAAAATACAAAAATATTCTTGACCAAATGAGACATTTGTAAGATGCCCTAGAAGGCCTCCTTTGCGGCTTTTGGGTCAAGGCCCGCAGGGTCCGGACAGAACCTCCCAGCGCTTCTAGTGACTCGTCGCTAGGTAAGCCTTCGGTCGTCTTACTTCTAGGGTTTATATACCATGGGTGAGTTTTGCTGGTTCCCTACCATTTGCGGCGAAACGCCATGGAATCTGTGGCCAACTAATTATTCCGTCCTTTTGACCTGCAACGAGTTCAGTGTGTGGTACAGGAACCGGGTTCTGCATAATCCCCGATCAGGTCTATGGTCGGTGATGAGGGCTTCACCTTTCCAAAGCTGAGGTTCAATTGCCCGACATTTCTGAGAACCATTCCCGTGCAGCGCAGCGGTTTGTTCCGAAGTGGATTGGCTAAAGCACCGAAAGCAACTGGTCAGATCCCGAGGTCAGATCGCAAGTATTGAGTCCATCCGTTTCGGAGGCGAGCTTGAGCCCTATTTGGGGAACCAAAACCAACTTGCTAAGTAGGGTTATAAGTTATAACCATGGTTTTCAGTTGGGTAACTGGGGTTGATCCCCCTTATAACCATCGTCATAACCTGCTTACTAAGTAGCTTGAACACCCAAGAACAGTCCAACCGGAAAAGTGTGAGGCTTCTGGGTTGCCACGTCGATCTGTCCTGCAGGTTGTCGCAGAGCTCATACTCATCCTCTAGACCAAGAGCCTCAGCATGAGTGGAAGTTACTTTGGCCAGGCATGGGTGTGTGTGAGTGTGTGTGTGTGAGTGTGTGTGTGTGTGTGTGTCTGGGCTGCCCTCAGATCCCTTGCTGCAAGTGTACCTTTTAGTGGGTTAAATGGAAACTATCACTAAACACTAAGAGGCTAGAAAGCTATGGCTGGGAGCCACCAAGGTGTGTATGTGTGTTTTCTGTTTGAGGCTGCCCTTTTTGTGTTCTGCTCTTTTTGAAGGGAGGCCAAACTGAAAGCCGCCCATTTGGCGTCGATCCATCGGGACCCGAGTTTGAGTGGCTGGACTGGCAAGGTACTAGGTGACATTTGCTCAGAGAATGTGATTTTTAGATTCACCTGGAGTCTCCTTCTGACCCTAAAAAATGGGGTCATCACCAACAATAGTGGGGTCACTGACCCATTCTTAAAGGGTCATGGAGAGTCCGGGCAATTCCTCGTTACAGCTTATCTGTGGCATCAGCACTCAGTTGGAGTGCTATGACGTCAATTTCCTGTGCGCAATGATTCAGCTCAAGCTCGCTGATTGACCATTCATGTTCCACAGCCAGAAACTGCTTTCCCTTCCTTGGATGTGGACTCATTGGGCGACTGATCGCGGCGAATGGGGCTTTGGATTTCATGATCATGCCCGTAAATACCGTCCCACCAATCAACATGGAATCTGACAGGGGGTTCCTGGAAGCTGCAAAACAACTTTCCTTTAAAGGGACCCCCTGTCAGGTTCCATGCCAATTGGTGGGAGGGTATATGCTAGAGCAACATGTCTAGCCCTCACTGTTTCTGTGTATGACTCTGCATGCACATGCCCTACAGTTCCCTCCGGCTAGAACCATTCCCAACACACATGTGACCATGAAACATTACTTGGTTGACGTTGGAAGGGGAGCAACAATTTAAATTTTAGCAGTTAAGTGGGGATTTCCCACTAAACCACAATAAGCAAAAATGTAAAACGTTTCCCAACGACAACCATGAAACATGCTGCAGGATTGCATCAGCCAAGAAACCAGGTGCCTAAAAAAAAAAAGAAAACAGCTAGAATGGAATAGGCTCTTCCGGAGTGAGCCCTCAAATTCAAAAGCAACGAAAACCTCGCGACGCGCGGAGCAGCAATGCATCCGTCTCTTTTTGCACCGCAAAAGCTCCTTTGAGCTGATGTATGGCCAGAACCCAGCGTCAATGCATTGAGGCTCATCATGACATATGGATGACAGGATGCCCCAGTGGCAGTAGTGTTGAAGGGAAACCAATGTAATTGTTCGAAGCCCCTGAAAAAATGGGTGTAAATATTTCCAGTAGTGATAGATTCCCTTTGAAACCAACAGGGGCAAACAAAAACATGGCTGCGGGTCAAAAATAGGTACCCAAAATGGAACCCTGGTAATTGGAAAAATGGACTAAAATCTGCGGTCTGGTTTAATATTGACCCACACCCACATATTCATTTCAAATGGACGGCAGCTTCTTTGTTGACACGCTCTGGTTCAGCCATTTTGGAGCTCAGACTCAACGAGTGCGGATTTCGGCGACTGGCAGTGGCCTGATGCGATTCCATCGGATTGGCCGTCTCGGAGGTTTCGAGGGGAACGCGTCTGCAAAAAAAACAACAACCTCGAAGTGAGCTCAAAACCATTACACGGGTTACCCCTTATACCTGGAGTCTCCTTCTGACCCGAATAAACCATGGGTGAATGACCAACCATTATTTAAAGTAACGACCAACCATTTTTTATTCGGGTCAGAAGGAGGCTCCAGGTAGTGGTTATGTGTCCCAGTGCTTCCAGGCGTTTGGCCGCAAAAGGTAGGCAACCACGGGAAAACATCCATGGTAAAACCTAAAGGGAAGAAAGCCCGGTGACCTACTATAGTGGTTTGCCTGGAAGCACTGGGTGTGTGTGTGTGTGCGTGTCCAAATAGGGGGACCCTGAACATAGTGGTCTTCCTTTTAGCTGCCCTTTAAACTGACAAGGATATACCCTCCCAAAAAGCACACCAGGAGTCTCCTTCTGATCCTGCAAACATGGTTGGTCATTACCCCAAATAATTGGGTCAATGACCCATTGTTTATTGGGGTCAGAGGGAGACTCCAGGTACGCATCTTGCGAGCAGAAAAAAGCGGAATCTTCCTTGCCTCCTCTCAATGCCTGTGCCCACGGAGCGCCCTGTGCTAACGACCAGATCATGTACTGGGCTGTCCGTGTTCAAATCCACTAAAAGTGAATAACTTGTGGGTTAAATTCGGAAATCCCAGCCTCAAAAAGCGGGGAAAACAATGAAAAGCTAAGGGAATGAAATCGCAAGGCAATCAACTTCTTGCTGAAGTGTTTCTTTTGCTATCTTCCCACGTTGGATTAAAACGGAATCTATCACGATTGTAAATATGTTCATGTTTCCCACGGGTCTTAAGCAAATGGAGGTCAATCAAGGGCCGAGCAACAGCACTCGGCAAAAAGGCATGCAGGAGAAAGAGTCCATCACGCCAAAAAAGAAGGAGAGCATTGAATCTTCATGGCCAGAAATCAGCTGAGCCGGCCAACCAGGCAGGCCAGGTTTCAGCCAAAAAGCTCTGGACAAGGGTTAAAATCCTTGATGGGTTTTCGCACCTAGGTGTAGGGAGCTATGCCATGCTTTGTGTGTCAAAAATATGTTTTTTCTCACCCGACCCACGTGATTGCATGAGTTGCTCATATTTTTTCGGCGAGCTTTTCCAGCGCTTGCCACTATACAGTAGGTCACCGGGCATGGCTACCTCTAGGTTTATCAGTAATGTTGACCCAGGATTAATAAACCCGTCCCACTTTTAGGGGGGTGTTCCCCTCCAAAAGTGGTCTGAATCGAACCACTAAAAGGGGACACCCCCCAATCAAAATCAACCAGGGGTTTATTAATCCGGGGTTAGCAGTAGGCACCCAGGCATTTTTTATACCATGGATGGTTTCCATCCAAAGCCTACCACGCCTGGACGCACGCTGCGGGCAGATCCACGGTCGGAGCTTAGTACGTGTGCTCGTCCGACTTCTCGAAGATCATGGAGCCCAGCCTGGAGTCGTCGGTCCTCAGTCCAGGCGCATCGCCACATCCGGCGGAGCGCCGGTGGCGGAACAAAAATCGTTGCCGGGAGTCTCCTTCTGACCCTTAAAAAATCGGGTCATTACCCAAAACAATGGGGTCATTGACGTAAAGGGTCATGGAGACTCCAGAAAATGGTTTATCTCGGGGTCGTTCCGTTTCTCATTCCCTTCTGACCGGCAAGATTAGGAAGCCAGACTCGAAATCGGTTCCAGTCTGAACGTCAAGCCATGGCTCACTTGAAACGCATGTTTCGACTGGTTGCAACTGAGGCGCGCAAGGCCACAAAAGGAAATGGTATCCCTTCGGTATGAATCGCTACCTGTAGGGTTTACATGGAAACGCCTGGTTACCTACCATAGTGGCGAAACGCCAGGAATGCACTGGGGTATGGGAGGACTGAAATTGGAACATATTTCCAGTAGTGATAGATTCCCTTCAAAACCAACAGGTGAAAATCAAAATTACCTGGAGTCTCCATGACCCGAATCAAAAATGGGGTCATGCCCCCTCGATTTTGGGCAATGACCAACCATTTTCTGAGGGTCAGAAGGAGACTCCAGGTATTCACTTCAGCAAATGGAAGTCTGGAGCTCCAAATATTCAAAGATAGACATTGATCCAAACCGGAGTCGAAGCACGTGGCGGTGGCAGATGTCCGAATCCGTGGCTTTGCAGGGAAGCCACCCTCTCTCCCAAGAGAAGGCATCTGTGGGGAAGAGTGGAAGATCAATTGAGTGTTGGAGGAACTCCCCGGCAGCCATGTGGCTGTGGTTGACATAAATGTAACAAAATGGCACCTTGGTATATGGAACAAAAGACTAAACCCCGCGTAACCCTAGCCACAGCCATGTGGTTGGGAAGAACAGATTGAGCATTGAACCTTCCAATTGTTCAAGGGATGTCGGTTCCCCTGCAGCATTTGGAGCAGCAATTGGCAGGTTTCCTGGTATCACAGGAGTGGTGGAAAAAAAGACTATTCCCACGACTTGGCTTCGTGCTTGAGACAAATATGGGTATACTTTTTTTTTAGGGGGCCCGCCAGAATTTCTCCGGATTTCCTTTTGGTTTCCCTGCTTAAGGGGTACCCTCAAAACAACAAAGCCCCGAATATGAAAAAAACAATATGGTCTCCTGCTAAGCTCCCGCGAGCCTTAGACCCCACATCGTAAGATTGCTACAACAAATCACCAAAAGTAGGCCAAGATTGAGATAGCGCGGTGTGGTGGTTCGCCAAACGATTTGCTTGACATACTCAGCCGTTTGAATTGGGGAAATACCCAAGAGCCAAACCTAGATATGCAGGCTTGCGAGCACCAAACAATGAGTTGATTGAACCGAGTGTGGGGTGTGCGTGTGCGTGTGCGTGTGCGCGCGCGTGTGTGTGTGTGTGTGTGTGTGGCGTCCACGAGTGACTGAGGGCCCAGCTCCTCGCATTGCGGTGACCTCAAGCGGAGCCGGCAGCAACCCCAAGTTAAACAACCAACCATAACTTGGTTGCTTTCTGCTCCCCTGCTAAAAGTTAATAACTTTTAGTGGTCCGGTTTAATGGAAAATCCCATTAGTTGGCAAAAAGTTATTCAGTCCTAACATCAAAATGCACCAAAAATAAGGTGTTCGCCACTGGGAAATCAAGGTAAGACCGCTTCCAAGTCCATGGCCTGCAGGTCAAGCAGTGCAAAAGGCGGGCAGGTAAACAGCCCCCACGACCAGCCCAGCTTAACAGCGGCAAGCGCCCCCAAACGGCGGGCAAAGGAACATGAAGCTACTGTGCGGGATCCTTGTGGATGCAAATAGAACCTCCGGTGCCAGGTCTTTTCTGCTCTACTCCTTTTACAGAAGGTACTCGTAAGGTCTGGCGCAAGATCTCCTTGCGGAACGTCAAGCAAGCATTATTCTACAAGGTCTCTTTGCAAGATTTCGGCAAAGGGTCCTCTTCCTGCGCAAGAGCCCTTACTGGAAGATCACGCGCAAGTCGAGTTCTCTTTGGGGACTTCTGCACGGTTCCGCACATTCGAGCTTTTCCGAGAATGGCTTCAGAACATGTTCACAAGGTCCTGCGCAAGATTTCCTTACTTGATCTTGGTTGACGTTGGAAGGGGAGCATTGTTTTTAGCAGCTAAGTGGTTGGATTTCCCACTAAACTACAATAAGCAAAAATGTAAAATGATCCCAAAACCAACCGTGTGATCCTGCAAGGATCAGTGTACAAGTGTTTGTTTGGAAGGATCTTGAGATGTATATAGAAAACCTAGATCCCCCATGCAGGGCTTCTAAATCCGCCTACCTTACGGGGGAGGGGGGTGGGGGGTCCCACAATTCCATTTATTCAGTCTTCCCCCAAACCAAAAATGGAACCCTAAATGGAATTCCAGGGGTTCCCCCCCTCCCCCAATTCCATTTTGAAGGGGGTGGGGATGCTAACAAAGATGAGTGTACAAGATCTCTAAGGAGGATCTCGATAAAGCCTCCGCAGCTCTGTGCAAGATTCATGTTAGGTCGTTGTGCACGATCTCTTGTTGGAAGATTCCGTGCCACAGCGGGACTCTGACACACCCCAACCAGCCCAACCACTGCCTCCCACAACGGGTGCAGCAATCCACGGTTTTCGGAATTCGCACGGCACCACGGCGGGAGCGCACCATCGAACCACACGTGCGCGCGACCCATGTTTTGCGAGCCTGCGAAGTCAAAATGCACTTGCAGGATTTGGTAAACAAGTTTTGCGCGAGCCGACTCACCGGAAATGACGCACGACGCGCACCCTCAAGCTAAGCCAGCCTTGCCCTTGCCACACGAACCCCTTGGTAGAAACACACTTTTGGGGGGCAAAATCAACAGCCGACTTTGAAAGAAAGAAAGGTGCGAGGACAAAAGAAGCCCCCCAATCAAGCATAGCCCCAGCAACACAAACATTCAGAACACGCAAACATGCACAGCCCCTGATTATTTTCTCCATTTACCAACCCCCAGAGGGTCCCAAAGAGTACCATGGAAACCGGTTTGGGGTTTGGTGAAATCGTCAAGTACAGATTACGAATAATTCTTGAACGTAAGGTAAGGCACCCCTAGGAACCGAAAGGAGGGCCATTTATCCATTTTGAGAAACTTTCAGGGGAGTCGATTCCTTCCAGACCGATTCGGCCGAGGGGCAGGTAGCACTTCTTGTGAGGGGCCCTGGCGTTTCCATCCGGGTAGAAGACGAAGGCGTTGCAGAGGATGCCCGCTCTTTCGCAGGCCTCACCTACAAATCCGGAATGGGGAAAGCTATCACCTATAAGCCCCCCTAACAAGGCCATAGTAATGTTGACCCAGGATTGATAAACCCGTCCCATTATTAGGGGGCCGTTCCCTCCAAGAGTGATGAATCCCCACTAAAAGGGGACAGCCCCCAATCAAAATCAACCAGGGGTTTATTAATCTGGGGTTCACATTAAGAGCTTATCCTTAACTTCTCCTTAGCTTATCCAGGAAGCCCACCCCGCAATGGCCCCGGTTGGAGGTCTATGACGCATCGAACGAAGGGTGCCAATTTACATCTCGGAACAGAAAACGAGTTGGGAAGACTCAGAGCAACAACTACAACCCCTTAGTTATGCATAGCATGCAACCAAGGAAACCATTATTTAAAGCTAACAGGATAATAAGATCCACAGGGTCAGGTGAATCTCAGCTGGGAAACACTGACATCTGATGCCCAGCTTTTTGAACACCCGCCAAAGATAGACTTGCAGAATATGTGGTTCATTCCGACTCCATCTCAGTTTCTGAGTTTGGCCCAAAAGAAAGTTTACGCATGTTCTTTCCCGCGAGAACCCTTGTGACCAGAATGCCCTTACCCTCGCAGCCAAAAAGAATGAAGTCTTGGGCTCCCAGGATTTTTGTCGTTCTTCGTGCGCAGTCATGGATGCCCCTTCGGGATTTAAAATCACCTCATTCGAGCGCGTTTGGTACGTGAAGAGCAACTTCAACTCCCACCGAAAGGCGAACAGAAATGGTACCCCATTTGCTTGGTGTTACAAGGAAAAGGCAGCGTATTGAGGGTCCGCTACGAACACACACAAACAAACAGACACATATGACCAGCAAATGTTACTATTCCAAAAGCTGGATCAAGAATTGGATCCCCAAGTAAAGCACCTTTATCATGGTGAGCTCGATAATTATGCTCCCAGGTGAGCTCGCTATTCAACAAGCAGACCCGTATTGTTCCAGAAAGAACTGAGTACAGTTTATTTATGTGGCTGAGCATTCCATTCCCCTGAAAAAAAAAAAAAAAACATGGGTTCCCATGGTTTCAAATAGGTGCAGGAATTTGTCCATCCATAGTATGTTTAGAGGAATCTTTTGTGGCCCCTCTTTTTCGATTCCATGTGAATTTGGTTGGGGAGAAATGCATCTAAGAACATTCACTTTTGAGAAGCTTGTGTCTTTTTGTGTGGGGCTCCTCCGCAATGATGGGGTTCCCAATTGGTTTCCCTTTAAACCAACCTGACAAAGCGTACCCACAACAAGCGCAACAAGAAAGCAGGTCCACGTGTCGGCATCCTCCTTCTCCAGTTCCATTTGCGAGGAGCCGGGAAGGGATGAAACTTCCTTTGGCAGTTCTACCGCTTAAACCCAGGTGAGTCACAATCAAAACATAGTATTAAAATGGTTGTAATCCCAGAACCATGCTTCAATAATTTTCCGAAGGCGGAATTCCGCACCTATTTCTGGCAAGGGGACCGCCCCTTAACCGGATCATCAATCCCCAAATCGGTTTTGATTGCACGTGGCTCAGGTCCATTTGGAACAAAGGTCCGTATTCTTGGTTGACGTTGGAAGGGGAGCAAAAACTCAAATTTTAGCAGTTAAGTGGGGACTTCCCTCTAAACCACAATAAGCAAACATGTAAAATGATTCCCAACAACAACCATGTATTGGAACAAATGACTGAAGCCCCGGTGCCCTGAACATAGCTCTGCGGGGAAGATAAAAACCGCCTGCGGCCCTCTAACCAACCAAATAACCATACAAAACGCCTCCATTTGCTCACGCCTGGAACAAATAAGATAATTAAGTTCCTTTGAAAACCGGTATGGGAAACAACAAATCACATTCCTTTCAGAAAATGGGAGAAAAAAAACGGAAGAGCTACCAATTGTCACCACTTATAGTGCTTGTTTGAGCACAATTATGTTCTACATGATGTGTCAAAACAGGGGTACTCCCCCCGAATAATGGGCCTCCTGTTAATGTCCATTTGAACCAACCTCAAAAAGGATACCCTGGAATCAAACACATCTTCCAATCAATTTTCACTTCCGTCTTATTGCCATTCCTCACGTCTCCTTCAAGAAGATCCCTTTTCTTCTGTCGGAGTTGCTCCAAAGACAACCCAAGGAAACCAAACCATTATTCTACCCTGCGGTTTTGATCTGGGTGCTAAAAGGATCAAGTGAATCCCAGGCAAGCCACCATAGTAGGAAATTAGGAGAAACTATGCAAAATCTAGTGGTAGGTTACCTGCTATAGTGGTAACCGGAAGCACTGGGCTAGGGAAAGACAGTAAAATAGGGATGCAAACTGCGGCCTTGCCCGACATACACATTGCCCTCCGGGGAACAAAGACACTTTCTGTCCTGAACTGGCCCCATCTTATAAAGTGGTAGCCTAACCCCAATTGCCGACTTTGATCCCCAAGAACAGAACCAATGTAACACAATGCTTTCATCCCACATGAGAGAAATTTCCACATGAAAATCCCATCTCGAATTCTGCTTTCTCCCACGGAACTACATGTTGCCCCACTCGCTTCTTTGATGCTCCCACTGAAAGGGGCGATCGGCTCACTGAACGGAGACTTATAATCATGACTTTGGGTTATCTCACCATGGCTACCCACTTGCCTGATGTAGCGAATCGATCGCCTCGTTGACTTGGTTGCTGCAAGGACCCCTCTGCAAAAAGTGAATAGCTGTTTGGTTTCATGGAAAGCTCTTGACTTCAGCCAAAAAGTTGAAGTCTGAAGAGATCCAACCCAATGGCAATCAAGGTTAAACGCACTCACTCGAATCATCTCAAGGGCTTCTTTCGGTCCAGTTCGGAAGCCAGGCGGCGACAGGTGGTCAAGCTCTGATCAATGGTCGGCGATGGGGATTTGTCGGAGCAATATTCCTCAAGTCGATTGGGTGTGACGCTCGTCCATTTTCTTTCGCCCCCTGAAAAACAATCGTAAAAGATTCCCTTGAAACACAACAGGGAGAATACAAATAAGCAACCAGAAGCTGTTCATGGGGAACACCCTCCAAAATGGTTGGTGGACATTATACAAGAAAACGCGTAAATGGTGTCCTCCAATTCGGGCGCCCAATTCAAATATCCTTGGATCAAAATCTGAGGGGGGTGTCTTGAAATCGGGGGAACGCCCAACATGTTGGCTAGTTTCCTGTTGGGATCCCTTCAAAAGCATCAAACAAGGGTAGCCTCAAAAACGAGACACGCCCAACAGTGTCCAACCGAGAAGGGTGCTCGGTTCGACGTTCTCAGCCTTTGTGTAGCCGCAGGGAAGCCAAGCACGGATCCGTTTTTGAGACAGACAAACTACTGTGGATTAACAAGATCCGTTCGCACCACGAAATGAAACCATGGTTGAAACCATTGTTTGTTAGTTGTTACGGGGGAATCATCATTCCGGATTGTTTTAGATAGCGCAAAATTCCGTCCATCCACTATATGTTTCGAGGAATCCAACTTGGCGGCGCAACAGTTGTCGTTCGTGCTGTTTTTGGATCACGTCTAATCCCCCGAAGGTCGTTTAAAAAAATATTTCCTATTAAAAACCCGATGAAGCAAGCGCAACCGGCGCCAAGGCCAAGAGGCAGGCCCCCGGGCAGCAAGAACAACCCCATCGCAAGAAGCGAACAACTTTCTGTGGGTCAGCGGAAAACCCACATCTCCCCAACAAGTCAAAGGTTAAAGATCCAACCAAGCAGCCAAGCCAGCAACTTGGAGAAAAGAAACTGAATACAAATTCCCATAGTACACTCTGAGACAAATTCCCGTATATAACATACGCTGTGATGGTTTTTCTCCGCGGCTCGTTGGGGTAGAAGTTCCACTTCTGCAGCTCCGGGTCATCCAAACTCAGCGTCCTCATCTGGTTCTTGCCCTTGCTCTTGATTTTCGCGGTGAACTCCTGCGAGAGATGCAGCGAATGAGAAATGCTTGCTGACCCTGAACTAAACCATCACCGAGTTGGGTTCGTTTAGGGGGAATCCCTGGGTTCATCTTGGTATAGGCTTCCAAAAGACTTTCCTCCAGTAAAGATGAACAAAACTAAAAAACAAAGACCCAAACAACTGGCCAAGACGAAGTTTAGCTGCGCTGTCTTCTGTTATCCGTCGAAACCAAACAGTTGGAACCTATTTTTGGGAAAATGGGAAGATAACAATGGGTGAATGGGGAGTCAACCTTCGAACTGCCGCCGAATGTGCTCCCTTGGCTCTTAAAACAATCTTGGCGGCTTTTTGGGTACCCTCGGATTCAAGATGTCCACAGCGACTCGAATCGCCTTCCTCTTGGTACTTTGGGTTGACTGTTTGGAGGCACGCTCAGGCCGCACATTCGCAAGCCTTGTCGAAATGCACTGAAGACTCCTGGGCTAGCTCGTTGGTGAAATGTAGAACTATGAGGCTGAGACGACGGTGCAATTGGTCGGAGAATTGAGGTCCCCCAAAGGCAAGTGGACTCAGCCAACAGTGGATGTGAACACTTAGCGATCAAGCACTTGGTCTTTCAAGGGGCTAACTGCTACCGGGTCCGCAAAAAGGAAACACTCAAATGGAAAGTCAATGTTAGTAATTAAGCAAGAGGTTGGGGTTGGGATGGCTAGTGCGTTGGCAATCAGTTGGCTGTCGAGTTGACCATTGGTTTGGGCCCCATATCTTTTTGGACTCCGGGACCTTTGGTTACAACAATTGCTGGATGCATGCTTCCCACGAATTCTTGATCCTGAGTTAAAAGCAGTGCCAAGTTTAGAAAGTAACAACACACAAGGACCCAACAACTCAGATCGGCTTTCTGTTCCTCCCTATCGGGTTGTAGTATTTCCAGGGACGGGCGAACGAACACGCGCGACTCGTCCTCATCTCAAAGTCGACCCTTGGGAACGGCAACCGACAAAATGACAAAACACAGAAGGGCATTCGGGGTTGACATCATGGATTTGGAACCCAAATCAAGGCCAGTACCTCCCGCCCCCCTCCAACAACTGTTTTTTTTCAGGCATGTCCAACATCCCCTTGATAACCAACTTCAGTTGCTAGGGACCCGGGTGCTGGCATGGCCCGAGCTACGCGAGGTGAAATCAAACATCCGCCATTGGACGTCTTTTTGAGGTCCCACAATGGCGGTTTCGGCTTTCGCCTTGCGGCTGCCCTTTCAAACGTCACACAACGCGGCACCAACTAAAACGACACAGCCGCGAATGATGTCCGCCCCCATTCCAAATTCCAGCTTCAGGACGTCTTGGGTGTGCCCTTCTGTTTTTTGTATCCGGGTTTTCAAAGGTAAGCCGTGCCTCTGGGGTTCGAACCAGTGAAAGTGGGTGAATTGCTTGCACCCGTAGTTACCCTTCAGGAGCATCCTCCCACTTGGGTCCATTGAATGGGGGCAAGGAACCCCTAGGCTTGCTGGTGCGATAGGCAGGGAATGAGGGAATGACCCTAATGACAACCTTCCCTTGGGGGTTCCTTTAAGGAGATCAAAGCCCGGGTTCATTCCCGGATTCCCTGAGCAAAAAGCAAGTGTCAGGGAATCCTCAAAGGGTTCATTGGCAAACCCCGGTCTGGGTCATGGGTTTGGATTCTTGATGGCCGTTGGGGTACCTGACCCCTACTCATACCTACTCTAGCGGTGAAACGGGTCAGCGCTAGCGGCGCCTTGCCGTTGACCAAGAAGAATTGGTCGTTGCCCCAGGAGATGGTCGAGGCAAAGACCCTTGTGCCGGCCAGGCGATGGGCTACGTGCTGCAACATGTTCTTGTCCTTGGCATTCGGAAAAAGGGCCCACGCACAGTGCTTCCAGGCAAGCCACTATGATAGGTGACCAGGGCAAACCATGATGTAAAACCTGGAACCCTTACCTTGTTATAGTGGTAACTGAAAGCACTGGGGCAGGGCACCTGGTGAGCAACGGTCAACATGGTCCGAGTGGCGGCGTTTTAATTTGCCCAGAAGCAATCCAAACAACCCAGAAATAAAAGGTGAACCTTGTGGGGTCATGACTGGAAGCATGGTCCAAACAGAAAGAATTGGCTCTGGGCAAGTGAGTGCTTAGTGAACCACAGTCAATATGGGCGTGTTTTTGCTACAGGAACCACAAACAAATGGTGGATTTGCTCGAAAAGATCCCGAGGGGCTGGTAGGGGGCTGGTCTAGGGGGGCGTTCTAAGGAACCGTAAGAAACCCGAAACGGGGGTGGGGGGTTCCCCAAGTCCATTGTTCCATTCTTCCATCCCCAATTCCTTATTAAGGGACCCTGTGAGGGATTTCAAAAGACGGGGCAGCGAACCACGGACCACAGTCAATACCAACCTTTTGGTGTAAGGAAACCTTTTTGGTTTAAGGACACCTTTAGTTTTTGGGACGTGACTGTCGTTTTATGGGTATGTCAGGCAAGTGGTTGGTGTTGGACAAGTTACTCGAGGGGGTTTACAGCGATAACTTGGTGGCTACTACTCCTTCCCCTCCTTCCCGTTAAGTAAGTTGCGCCTCCTGCTCAAGCTGCATGTTGATTAGCTGACATACAAATACGTAGATAGCAGTGGCAATGCTGGCTTTTATATGACGTAAATCGCCATCCCCCTTGCTATACGCCTTTTGCCAGCTGAGTAGGCTGGCTGGGTCTTGCGTCCCACGTAGGGCTCAACCTGCAGGGTGACCATTGTTCGAGGGTACCCCGCAAATGTTGGTTTAAAGGGAAACCAAAAACAGACACTACCATGTTCGATGTGTGTGTGTGTGTTGTGTGCTTGTATTTTGGAGGGGATCCTTTTGGGTTTGAAGGGAACCCCCAAAAAGCAAAAGCTACCACTGTAAACTACATCTCTGTTGACAACTGTTCCAGCACAAAACACATCCCCACCAACCCCCGCACTCCAAAAACAATATATGCTCCGAAGCCAGCTTGGGGTTCACCCAACTGGTTTGGCACAGAAAGAAAAAGAACAGAACATGCAAAAAGAAGCCAGCCCGAGGCGCATCGACGGGCTGGCCGTTCAAGCAGGCATCCAGCATGACGGTGCTCCTGTGGTCCCCGCCCTGAGGAAAGCACGGACGGTAAGCCGAAGCCTCTGCCACAGCGGGTTCATGGGTTGGTCGCAAAAAAGGAAGCAGAACACACAAAAAAGTGGTGGGTGGTCCTTTTGGCTTCCCTTTGAAGCCATGAAAAAGAATGGCGCCTTGCAAAAACAAACAAACCCCAATCATACTTTCCGATGCAGTTGTGTATTCGAATGTGTCTTTACTCAAAACCCATGGAACCCATATTTGGTTGCACAAGGCAACCAACAGGAACCCAACCACAAACACATTCACGTTAACATAGCACATTGATCGAGACTCTAACCTTCAAAAAAACAAAGCTCGAGCTGGTTTTGGGCACTCGGCAAAAGCCCCAGAAGCCCGAAATGTGATGTTTAGACTCGACGAGTAATCTTGTTGCTCCACTTGCCAAGGGCTTTTGCCAATCCCAACCGCTAATGACAACCCTCCCACCCAACATGGAACCTGCTAGGGGGTCCCTTGAAAGGGCCCCCAGCTTCCATGGTGGGAGGCTAAGAGTCTCAGCCGTTTTGGGCTCCTTTCTTGGAGCCTCTGACAGGATCGAGTTACTGTGGATGGTTGCGAAATCCATTTCGCACCACCTAAGAAACCCGGGTTTATGATGATTGCCCTGTAAATACCAACTGACCTGGTGTTTCCATGATTTAGTGGCGCATATTTTTTAGTCTGTCGCCATCCCAGGTCTACAATCCAAACAAAAGGAAGGTGTGACTCTGACCACTGTCCCAAACGGCACGGGCCCCATATGTGTTATCCAGTGGGGTTTGGTCAAAACGGGGATTCCTCCTTGGATGTGCAAAACACCAATGCCTGAGTAGGTTACCATGGTCTTAAGTGGTTGGTAGCTCGGCTGATCGTCGCTTGTAACCATGGTTGTAACCTGCTTGCCGGACGCTGGTCGAACATCCATGCCTCAAATCAGCAAAGCTCTTGAGGCGCCATTTGGGGCCCTCTGGGCTCTGTCTCTCCACATGCCGTTTTGAATCGGGTTGACGTAAAGGGAAATGCAAATGCTTGGAACTACTCCGGGACACATAAAGCATATCTTCAGGATCTGCTTCACACCTCGGTGTCTTTTTGAGTGGTCCCGGTTTGGATTGGTTTAAGTGGAAACCAACAAAACTGACACCGCGCAACCACTTTTTTTTTCGGGGTTCCCGTCGACAAACCCAATTCGTCTACCTGGAGTCTCCATGACCCTTAAAAAATGGTGTGTCAGTACCCAAAATAACGGGGTCATTGACCCATTTTTGATTCGGGTCATGGAGACTCCAGGAACTCAAAAAGACAATCTGGTTTAAGTGAAAACCAAAAAAAATAAAAACCGCGTCTTCGCGCGGTTCCGGTCGACAAAAACCCAAATTGTCTACCCCAAAAAACCAATCGGGAGAGTTTTTTCTTCCTCGCGCACAAAAAACAAATCGCGCCGAGACGCTTTGATCATGTGCCTGTAGACCTTGTCCAGAAACCCGTCCGTAGTATCCTCAAGTTGCGAGGCTTCGGACTGGAAATCGCTGGCCTGTTGGACATAGATGGCCGTGCTAAATGTAGAAACAAAAAGACCAAACCAGTGCCATCTATTTCTACCCACATCTAAGCAACATGCATAAAATCTAAGCAACATGTCTTAAGAAGGACACCTATGCTTGAGGCGAAGCTTCTCAAAGAGCTTCCCAAATCTGCGCAAAGTTCATCAACTCGAGACACAAGTCATGGGTGAAATTGGTTTTTCACCCCAAGCCCGATTCAGGTCGCAACTGCATTTTGCCTGCGCTGAGAACTGGAAAGTGCATCTGGTTTGGTCAACGGTCAAGCCAAAACCTACCGTGGATGGACGAAATCCATTTCGCGCCACCTAAGAAACCATGATTTCCTTGCAAATACCGACCAACGTTTCCCATGGTTTTAAAGTGGTGTAGGATTTTGTCCATCCACAGTAGGATTTCAACATCTGCTTTGTTCCTCGTAAGGACACGCCAGATGGTAAGCACTGAAAGAGGGCAGGAGGCACCGATTTGCCCTGTTTTCAGGAGAAAGCGAAAGGAACTGCTTAAGGTGTCTTTTTCCACCTGCCCCCCCCAAACCTTGGGCTGCAATTCTGTTCCTGTTCCTACTCATGGCCATTCCTTCTAAAAGCCAGCAGGACACCACAGTCTACAACTTGAGAGCATCACACATCATGTAACACGCACGAAGTAGGATTGGCAACTGCTAACTGCAAAAACAACCACAAGTTCAGCATCTATCGGGTTGCCCAGTAATTGCAAAGAGCTATATTCTCGAAAGGGTGGCTTCCTGCTTCAGCGTTTCAGGCGGTTCCCTCTCCCTCTGCTGTATCTTCTCAATCAGCGCCAAAATGTTTTTTTTCGTGTTCTACCAACATGGCTACGCAGGCTTAATGGGTGTCATTTTCGGGGTACACCATGTTTGGTGGTTGTAAAGGGAACCAACCGTGAGACCATCCCAAATTGGGAGGTCCGATTCCTAAAAACGAAGAGCCACCCATCGCCATGCTATCAACCCCCCAAGAAGCAAGTTACCATTCGGGGGCCCCAAGGCGCTGCCAGCCATGGTCGTCTCACGGTCGTCACGCCCGCAAAATGAATTAGGGGAAGCGGAAAGCGAATTTTGCGACAGAACCAACAGCGCACCATGTGTTGTCTTTGCCGATGATGACCACCATCATGGTGATGATGACACGCTCATCTACATCTCCAAGCAGGTCACAACGATGATGATGTGATGACGATGAGCATGTCATCATCACCATGATGGTGGTCATCATCGGCATCATCATCATCGTCATCATCCTCGTCATCGTCCTCGTCATCATCACCGTTATCCGTAGACATAATTATCATCATGACTGCTGGCGATGCAGAGGATGCACGATGATGGTTATCAAGATGACGATGATGATGACGATGATGATGACGATGATGACGATGATGATGATGACGATGATGATGATGATGACGATACTGACCACCATCATGGTGATGATGAAGGTAGCCAGGGGTTTCCCCAAGATGTGAAGCCTAGAGGTAGCCATACTCACTACTATATGGTATAGTGGTAACTGGAAGCAATGGCTAGCTTTGACCATCCGGCAGGGTTTGTGTTTTTGCGGGTAGCCTTCTCAAGTTCCAGGTTGAGTCAAAAGGAAACCAAATTACCAAACTTGTGAAACCGCCCTTGTTAAAACCCCCCACTTTGGCACAAGGTAGCCTCAAAAGGACAACCCTCGGCACCACAGCGGGGTGGGGGGATATCATTACTCTAATCCGCCTCAGAAGTACTCTTGAGAACCCCTCGAAATCAAGACAATCAAATCTAACTCCCATGATATACATCCAAACATCACCTGCACGTGGATGCTCTAAATCAGCTAGTGGTTGAACTGGTCCGAATGTATCCTCGCCCAGCGGTACTGTGGATGCACGAACTCCATTTCGCACCACCTAAGAAACTCTGGAATGACGATTTCCCCTGTAAATGTCTGCAAACAACGGTTTCAACTATGGTTTCAATCTGATGCAAGATTGTGTCCAAAGCATGGCACCATTTGGCCATCAAGCGTCATCCTCCACACTCAAGGATCCAGTGATTCCAGGCCCGTCGGAACCCCACATCAAGGAGTTTGGATCTCCGTGGCCGGCCAGAACCTTGGCAAGAGGCTCAAACAAACCCAGTGCTTCCAGTTACCACCTAGTGGATCCGAGGCAAACCCATATAGTAGGTAACCAGCTATTTGGCTATCCTTTGGCTTTTGTAAAGGGTGGCAAGCCCTTGGCTACCTATACAGGTAAATGGATCCACTGAGATATTTCGTGGTAGCCATGTATTGACCTCTAGGTTTTTACTTGACGGTTTCCCCTGATTGCCTATGACAAGCGCCTGGCGCGGCGGCTCTTTGCATCGCGCTCAAGTACGACCAGAGCGCGCAGAACAGAAGAAAGAAGCAGTTCAAATCAAAGGGTTTGGGTACAGGACGAACTACAGGGCATGGCCCCAAAAATTCCGAAACAAGCAGTTTTCCTGTACAAGTTCCTGTAACCCAACCCTTTAAATCAAGGGTCAGAGTTTGAGAGGCTCCACCGGCCTGGACTGAGAATCATGGTTCCAAGAGAGGAGAAACACCACGATTCGCATGCCTAAATCATCTCACTTGCCCAAAGGACCCAGAAATAAAAGGCTAACCTTTTGGGGCCATGACTAAACATGGTCCAAAACTGGAAAACCAAAAGGTTAAAAGGTCGGCTTTCCACATCGAGGCCATATTGTTCTCGTATAGGCTACGATCATACAAAAAAGCTGACGTTCTTTTTCAGGGCTGCGACAGAACTCAAGCTTCTCGCAACAGTTTGCAGTATGAACGTAGACAATGAAAACCCTCCCACTGAAACCCTTTCCATCTGTATATTGCATAGGGTAATGAAGAAAGGACACATCTCTACTCTTGGTATGGTAGCTAAAAACTGTGTTTTTTGCAGACCCCCAGTAAATATGAACAGAACCAACAAACGAAAAAACCAAAAAACATGCCAAGAACAGTGACGGAACATAGCTGGTTACCTGCTATATGGGCAGGAACTGGAATCCACTGGGCCAACGTTCGCAACTGGTCTTCACCCTGCACTGGTTCACCGAGGAGAATGCTGGCTCCCAGCGGTCAATTCAGGGGGAAAAGTGTTTCTTGGCCATCCAAGGGAAAAGGAAAGCTAGTTCTAAATGTGTGAGTGCGTTTGTTTCAGGGTACACCTTGATGTTTTTGCAGGGAAACCCGAAGGAAGGTCCCCATCTTAAGACACAATTGGAGATGTCCAAGCCCACCCCCTTCCCACCTTCCCATTCCATCTTTCGGAGGCGAGGAGAGGCACTAAAAGGGAAAATCGGAGACCCAGAGGGTCCCGTGGTACCTTTGAAGGATGGGCTTTTGGGGGGTGCAAACGGGTCGTTCAGTACCTTAGAAGGTACCAAGGGCCCTCAAAAACGACCGGGTGTGTGTAATTGTGTGGATCGTGTTCTACCCCGGCGTTCAGTTCCCACCTTTAAAAGAAAGGTTGGGTTAATATGCCCACCAGTATTAGCCAAGAGTGCCAAGAGTAACTCCTCCAAATTGTGTCCGTGCCATGGCCCTTTTGGTGATGTTTTGCTTCGAAGCAACATATATCCTGGCGCCCCATTGGACGTGGATGACAAGATCCATTTCGCACCACTTTGAAACCATGGCTGAAACCTGAACGTTTGTGGGTATTTACACAATCATTCCAGGGTGTCTTAGGTGGCGCGAAATGGAGTCCGTCCATCCACAGTAGGGCACCTGATAAGTCCCCAAACACATCCCCATCTCACTTGAAAGGAACGCACTTGAAATTGGCCCAAGAGGTAACCTCAAACTCTGTGATTTTGCAAAAGGATTCCCCAAGTACACCGTGTATCCAACCCAACTAATGTCACATCCCTTTGACACCGCTAAAAGCGGGACGCAACCAGGACTGAGGCAAAAACCAGGTGCTTGATGGTGACATCGCTTGGAATCCCGTCCCTTGGGGAGCGGATCGAGCTTCGACAGCGCCCATTTCCATTGACAAATTGTCCCCCTGAAGTGCCTGGAGTCTCCATGACCCTGAAAAAATGGGTCAATGACCAACCATTATTTTGGGTACAGACCTACCATTTTTTAAGGGTCAGAAGGAGACTCCAGGTGGCTCCGTTTTTCTATCAAAGTCTCCCCTGATCGGGTCTGGACAAATCAAACAAGCAGGCACCCCCTTGTGGTTGTGTTTGGAGAAAAGCGCAATCTATGAGCTATTTTGCAACACCATCCAAGAACAATGCTGCTCCTGAAATCCCTGTCACTCGCCTTGAAGGGTGCGCCAAGAAGCTTTATTCTGCTTTTGTCTTTTCTTCCTTTTTTGTTACGGGTGGGAGGGGGGGAGGGGGCGGGGCTGTCCAGCAGAATTATTGGAATGGACCACGAACGGGGTCGTGAACGGCACAAGGGGAGACAGTTGGCCCCTGGTCGAGGACAACTAAAGGACGACAAAACCGTGACTGAGGACAACTTACTGCTCGTGTCGGGCAAGGGTTAGGTTCCAACTATATGGAGCTAGACCCGCCCCCCCAAAGAAAGCAAAGAAAGAAAGAAAGAAAGAAAGAAAGAAAGAAAGAAAGAAAGAAAGAAAGAAATAAAAAAAGAAAGAAAGAAAGAAAGAAAGAAAAAAAGAAAGAAAGAAAGAAAGAAAGAAAGAAAGAAATAAAGAACATGAACAGTGCTCCTTTGAACAAAGAAAGAACAAATAAAAAGGTCCCCCGGCACCCTACAAGTTCACCATGGCTTGGTCCTGGAAACTGTTCAAATTTGGGTGGGGTTGTCTTTCCTCAAAACAGCCGGGGGTCGTATCAAGGGGTCGTATCGAAAGGATATCGAGCCCTCATTGAACAGAGCTGCTGGTTGCACCGGTGGGTCCCAGCCAGTATGATCAGTAACCAGCCGCTTTGGACGCTTTCCTTTTGAGTAGGACGACAGTAATTACAACACAAGAGGACCCAACAACTCGGATATACATCAAGGTCCTCCAGTAGAGAGGTTTACGTCCATTTTAGTAGGGGAACCCTCCCCCAAAAAAGGAGTGAGAAAGGGCACTACTGGGGGGCCTTGGTCAGTTGCAATATAGAGGTACCTGGAGTCTCATTCTGACAGGAAACAAACATGGGTCAATCACCAACTATTATTTTGGGGCATGACCAACCATTCTTTATTCGGGTCATGGAGACTCCAGGTAGATGGAACCGCTGGGCGCTGGGCAAGTGAGCTCATGCGGTCAAGTTGTTTCCGCGCATTTGGACAGCCCTGAAAATACAACAGACACTACATCAAACCGGGAGCCCCAAAGACCCCGTTTTCTGCCTTTGATTCACCAAGGGGACAAGACACAAAGAACAGTGACCAAATCCTTCACATTGCTTCCAGGCGATTTGGGCTCGTATTTTTTATTCAATCACATATATTGAAATCACGCCTGGGGGGTCCAGGTGGTTTTTTGTTTGAAATCATGCCTGGGGGTCCTGGTGCTTGTTTTGTTGCATTCATGCCTGTGGGCCGGGGCGCTTTTTTGAATGAATTCACGCCTTGGGCTCCGCTTCTTTTTTGGGAATTCGCGCCTCTGGGCTGGTTTTGTTCTTTTGAAGTTACGCTTGGGGGCTCCGGTGTTTGGTTTATTGAAATCACGCCCAGGCGTGATGTAAAAAGAAAGACACTAGGACCCCCAGGCGTGACTTCAAAAGAAAAAGCACTGGCCCAGAGGCGTGAATTCAGAAACAGGAAAGCGGAGCCCCAAGGCGTGAATTTAAAAAAAGAAACTCCCCGGCCCACAGGCATGAATGCAACACCCACGCGTGATTTACAAAACGAACACCTGGACCCCCCAGGCGTGATTTAAAAAAAAAAAAAAACTGCCCAGGCGTGATTTCAAAAAAAAGGCACCTGGACCCCCCAGGCGCGATTTCAATAAATGTGATTTTAAAAAGAATATGACCCCAGGCGTGATTTCAAAAGGGCCGAGGTGTTGTTTTCTTTGCGACGACCATTCGCTCACTCGCTTACTTGCTCGCTTCATCTGTGAGAAAAACACAGAAATGAGAATCCAAAATGAGGAATTTCAAAATAAGCAAGGCTGGTGTAAATTCAAAGAAAAATCACAGGTTCCGGCGTTTCGCCACACAGTAGACCATCATAAAGCACCCAGAGGTTGCCCACCATAGGGTCATAGAGGTTTGCTTGAAAGCACTGGGATTGATGTAAAACCCAGAGGTAGCGATTCATACCGAAGTGCTACCTTTTCTTTTGTGGGGCGCCTTCCGATATATGGAGTCTCCTTCTGACCCGAAATAAAAATTGGATCAATGACCAACCATTATTTGGGTAATAACCATTTTGGAGACTCCAGGTAGATGGACCTTTAAAAAAAAGTATAAAAAAAAGAAAAAGAAACAAAAACATGAAAAGATCCCGACCTTTGGCCCAGCAAAATGCCCATGAGGGGTCCCCCGACTCCCGACTGTGGATGGTTCCGGAATCCGCGCAACTCGCAGCGTTCGTTCAGAAGCCCAACGGTTTCTGATTCGAGTCAACGTAAATACCAAGAAACAGTGGTTTCGAAGCGGTGGATCTTGTCCACAGTAGCTTCAGTGGTTCTGTTTGGTTGAAGGCCCCCCCTTCTTTGTGGTCTAAAGCAAACCACGAGAAAAACCACCATGTTTGGGGGACCCCCCAAAAAAAACAGACGCACACGCACACGCACACGCACACGCACACGCACACGCACACGCACACGCACACGCACACGCACACGCACACGCACACGCACACGCACACGCACACGCACACGCACACGCACACGCACACGCACACGCACACGCACACGCACACGCACACGCACACCCACACCCACACCCACACCCACACCCACACCCACACACACACACACACCCACACACACACACCACACACACACACATACGCCTAGTTGCGTTCTAATAATTTACCAGTGCCATTCGTTTTGTTGCTCCAAAAGAACGGGGGACCAGTTAGTTTCTCTAACAAGAAGCATGGTTTCTCCTTCTAGCCCTGGCAAACAAAACAGCTCGGGGTACAAAACAGGGCCCCTTGAAAGTAAGATTCCCTTTAAAGCCAACAGGGGAAAATCAAACGATTTCGTAACATCATGGCCTTTCCTTCGGGTTTTCCCTTTGGAACCGAGCAAGATGAATCCAAGGCTCACGACTCGCGTGGCCCCCTCCACGGATGGGACACGATGAAACTGCAATGAGTAGTGCTCCGTCTGAGTGAACAGCCTGGCCAGAAAACTGCGACTCTAACCCAGTGGATTCAGTTACCTTGTTTTGTGGACAACCAAGAACTTTCCACCCTTTGAAAACTAAACGGAAAATCGCCGGTTGCCTACTATAATGGTGACTGGGACCCACTGGGTAAGTGACTGGGACCCACTGGGTCAGGGACCAAAGAATTACACGTCTCCATGATCACGGGGTAAATTGTTTTATATAACCACTCCCCACAACTCTAGTCTAATCATTCAGGGATCCTTACATTATACACCTGAACATTGCCTTGTAAATGGTGGCGTCCCTTTATTTTAGTGGAAAAAGCCATGTTTCAAAAAGGCAACATGTATCTTTTAAGGAACCCTGTTATTTGGGCGTCTTTCAACACCCCCCAACTTCAACTTCCCACTCCCTGCAAGGCATGCTGCCAACTGACTCTGGCGCTTGCTTTCCATACGTGCTTCCAGTTCCCACGATCACAGGGAACCCTTCAATTGTTTTTAGCTCTAGTTTTTTTCTGTTTTTTTTTACCATGCATGGTTTCCCCTGGCCTACCTTTTGTGGCAAGGGCCTGGAAGCACTGGAATACAAACCTGGGCATGCCAACAAAAATATGCCTTAGGGGCTGAACCAATTGGTCGGACGAACTCGGTGCATTGGATGGGTCAGCACTGGTATTGGCCGTGCGCATGTGGCCCATTCTGAAAAAATATGAACTTGCAAGAAACCGGGCTCTCAATAACCATCTCTGCAAAAAAAGGTTGCAACACCCCCACCCCCACCCCCACCCCAGCCCACCCTCACCTACCCCCCAATGCATCGGGCCATAGCTTCGCTATAACTTCGCTAAACTGAGTTCTAACCTCCCAAAGTCCGCCTACCAGCGATGCGCGATGCCCCCAATGGCCATGGAAAAAACACAACGCCCTTCTTTAGACCCCGTTAAAGGGAAACCACCTCCAAACAATAAACAAGCATAGCAGCATAGGTGTCCTTTTAGCCGTTTGCAAATGGAAGAAAGCCCATCTAAACCAGTTCCATTTATTTCGATCCAAGCCAGCCTATAACGGACACCTACAGTAGATGACAGTCCCTGAAAGGATATACTTGGCCCTGATTTCAAAAGGATTTGGAGGATTCTCTGATCCTCTCGTAAAGCAGGTGGTTTGTATCATTTAAGGAGCCGAATTAGCCCCGCGCTTGCAGCCCGTCCGCGGTTTTCGCTCCTTGTCAGCTGGTATGCCAAGAGCTTTTCATGCGGAGCAAGATCGCGCGAGAGATGGCGTTTTGGGCGGCTTGGACCTGTTCCATGGATCATACCCCAGGTCCTGGTACAATATGTGATCTTTTAACATCGGCTAAATCCCCAATGGACCGATCCCTGTTTTCTGCCCAACAGGTAACTCTCTGTTGCGGGTCCTTCGGGCAGAGAAAGGTGTCCTGGAACCTCAGGTCTGAGACAGAATCAGAAAATGTATTTGGCTTAGTCCACCCAGTGGATCTATTTGCTTGTATTCCGCGAAGGGGTTCCCGACCCCTTAAAGGAAAGTACCTGGAGTCTCCATGACCCTTAAAAAATGGGGCAGTGACCCCATTATTTTGGGTAATGACCAACCAATTTTCAAGGGTCATGGAGACTCCAGGTAGCGAAGGGACACCTACCTGGGCGAAACGCCTGGGATCTGGGCAAGATGCCCTGAGACTTTGAGAGAATGCTTATGACACCACAACTTAAACCTTACCTGGTGGTTCCCAGCCATCCGGTTCCTCAGCTTTTTAGCCTTTTGGGGTTTAGTCGTAGTTTCCACTAAAACCTAGACTTTTAGCAGGTGGCATTTACAGGGGAGTCGTATCCGAAACCAGGGTTTCTTCTTGTGGTGCGAAATCCACCTCCCTAAAAGGCACCCTCAAAAGGGGATCGTGGCGGCTTTTCCTTTTGGTTTCCCATTCAGCATTCAACCAATCTGCAGGCTCACCCACATTTACCCTCCAAACCGGTCAAACGTTGGTACACAGGCCCTTGGTAAAGAGACACATTGACATATTACCTATGATAGCTTCGCGCCTTGTGCACAGGACGCGGTCGAACTTGCGTTCGTCGCAGATGTTAAAGGCACCGTTGTGGTCCTGAGGTTCCCACTCAGAGGAATCTGTTTAAGAGTACTTTTTGGGAGGGTGCGCAGAGTCTGAGGGTACTGTGTTGGAGGCTGCTCCCCAAATTCAGAAGAATGGGCGTCTTTTTAAGGGTACCCTTTTTGAGGTTGATTAAAGATGGAAGCCTAAAGGACGCCAATGACTTTGTGGGAGGCCCTACTTGGATGTTCAACCAACTTGGTAAGTAGGTTCCTAGCTATAACCATGGTTATAATGGCCTTACCATGGCTATATCCTAGTTGCGAAGTAGCTAGAACAACCAGGTACCCTTGTTCGGTTGGTCTATGGGGGGGGTACCATGTGTGCATGCATATGTAATATAAGCAACGATATCAACGTCTGCCATCTGACAGAGTCTGCATCCATCTCAGAATATTGGAACCCGGGAATGTTTAACAATTGTTCAGATTTTGGTCAATTCCGGATTTGGTTCTATTTTTCTTGAAACATCCCAGGGCTGCCCCAGTACCCTAGGTGTTCAATACATACTTCTGCAACCATGCACACCCATCTGCAGTCATATGCATTTCTCCAAGCTCCCGCAACTTCTGGGTTCAAAGTGAGACAATATTATCGGAAAAGATGTGAACCTTGAATATTCAATCCAGTGGTCAATTACTTTCGAGTTTGTAGAACCAACTTGACTGTGAAAGGATTTGTTTATTTAAGTTATATTTGGGGAGCAAAAAAATCGAAGAATTTTAGCAGTTAAGTGGTTGGATTTCAACCACTACACCACAATAAACAAAAATGTAAAAATGTTTCCCAACGACAACCATGCAAGCTACCCGTAAAACTGGGTCGCTGCCCCAAAATTCTTGGATGCCACTCTTTGTTTCAGCGCAGTTTGAGGATCCACGAAAACCCATTTGGCACTTTTCACGTGGTGGCCACCGGAACAAAAATATGTACCCCCTGGTTCCTCTGCAACCTTAACTTGTTGTGGGTCAAATGGAAATTTGAGCTGTTTCCCAAAACATTGAAGTCCAAAGATCCAACCAAATAGCCATAAAAACTCGTCGTGACAAGTTTCTTACAAATAGCCATAGTCAATCAGGGCTTTTTGTCTGGGCCGTAAGCCTGGGTGCAGATCACGGTGGGTACTTGGGACAAACAAACTTCCGCGAACATACGGAGGGAGCGGGTCCCGATATGGGGGGATTCCAACTTGGCGCCATGTCCCATATCAAACTTAGTCAAGGTGCATTTAGGGGGTATCCTCCCGTATCCCTGATCCCTGGTTCCCCCCTGTATCCCTGCTAGTTGGTTTCCCTGAGTACTGGTGAAAACCCAATCATGCCCAATACTTCCCTGTGGGTGGACGAAATGCATTTCGCACCACCTAAGAAACCCTGGAATGATTCGATCCGCCTGCAAATACCAATAAAGAATGGTTTCCCATGGTTTCAAAGTGGTGCAGGATTTTGTCCATCCGCAGTAGTCTGCAACAATCTTGCAAACACACGCCAACCAGCGAACCATCATTTTCGGCCGTCAGCTCACACAACAAATGTCGATGTATGTTCAAAGCCTGAAGCATGAAAGAACATGAAGTGTCAAGGAGATGCTGCGAACAGCTAGCAAAAGTAAACCTGCAATCAGTCGTGATGTGTCGTGTGTCCTTAGCCCAAAGATCTCAGCAACAGCCATGACACCGGTCAGAAGCAACATGGAAAGATCCCAACCTTGCCCCTCAAACTACCATCAAAGTATTGTCCCAATAGTTTGGGGTGATGTCAGTGATGTCCCATTTGTTTGGGTATTTTGCGGGTCCAGGAAGCTCTCTTTTGTGTGCTTACCCGGAGGGTGGTCAGTTGAAAAGGACCAAACATATTTGCCTGTCGCGTTGACCCAACAAAAACTCCCCAACTCTCGGCTCTCCTCTTCTGGGTAGAGGAAGAGGGCCACCGTGTTGGGCGAAGCCGGATTGTTGTAAACCTGTGCCGTTCGGATACCGAGGCCTCACCACCGGTTGCTGCTGTTCTCTCTAAAAGTGAAAATCACTGTTTGTGGAATCTCATGGGAAATTTTCCGAGCCGTTGAAAAATCGAGGCAAATAGCCAAATGGCTGATGGAAAGAGCCTGGCCATGCGTACCGGTTGATGCCCCACTAACCAACAGGTTGGGGGTTCACACTCGCGTTTTCGACAGAGGTTCGTACAACATAGCCGCTAGCCTTTGTCCTTCAATTGCTTTCAACTTGTGTCCCCTTCTATGCCAGGCACGTGCTCTGCAAAGACACCCTCTCATCTTGAGGGAAAGCATGCTTGGGGCACGAAACCAGAAACCCATGCTTATTTCCTGTGTTAGGGCGCAAAGAAGGCTTTGCGCTCGCCGTACTGGTATTGGGTTTAAACATCCGGAAAGCATCCGACATCCAGTCAGTCGAACTCTTTGAAGTGAAAGCAAGTCTTGGCTCGCGAACTACTCGCCTCTTGTAGGATAGCAGTCCGCTTGGCCCTGGATTGACCCGCAGAGAGCTAAGACTGACGTGGAAAAAACAAGAATCTGAAGGAAAACCCTTCAAGGGTAAAAGTGTTAGGGCAACCATGTGAATTAAGTTCAAATCTATTGCCCCCGTGGGGGAACCACCCCGCCAAAACAAAAACACAAGTTGGGTGTGTCTTGTTTGAGTGTACCCCCATGTAGCCCCCATACTTGCTGGTGTTAAAGGAACACAACAATTGGAACACCAAGTTGTTTGGAGGGTCGCTTGTTCACTTCGGGCAAGGCTCTCAGAAGCAAAGCCTCCCGCAGCCTCTTGGCCAGGGCAAACCGGCCTTTTGCTTCCCATGGGTTTTGGGTAGGCTTTTGAGGCCTTGCGCTTGACTCGGTTCCAGTGTTCCAAGGAATCAGGCTTCATGTCCAAGCATCACCTCAAAGCAAAACTCAATGAACATTGCAACCAACAGGTACTGAGTAAAAACGGCAAAAGGAGGACAGAATTCGGACCCCTGAGAATTTCACAGCCTCAAAGTAGGGTGACCCCCCAAACCAGGCTGAAAAGGGTGCCTTCAAAACAGGGCACGCCGAAATTCATCTTCGTGGCGCGAAACAACAGATAAAGAGAGGTTCGAGGCATCATGTTGGTTCATCCCTAGGGTTCTTAGAACCTTCTCAGGGCGCACCCAAACCAGCACCCACCTTGGAAATCGGCGTCTACTTTGCTGTTGCTTAATACTATACGCCCTACACCAAATACCCACGTATTTTAGTTGGTATCATCTAAAACAACAGGCGTTTTCCATACCCACTAAAAAAGAGGGTATGCGGAGTTGGGGGTAGTTATATACTCATAAACATGCTGCGTCTCCCGTTCTCGAAACCGGAGCGTGGGTAAGGGCGCAGGCCACCTGGGGTTGACCCCCTCCAATACAAACATTACAAGGACCCATCCCTTTCTTTGTCAAGGATTAACATCATACCCTATACCCTGAAAAAGTGGGTTTTGGGTGTACCTGGAGTCTCCATGACCCTGAACACATGGGGTCATTAGCCAAAAGAATGGGGTCATTGACCCATTTTTTAAAGGGTCATGGAGACTCCAGGTAGGGGCAAACCTGATCATGTTTTCAGCTGGAGGTTCAGTGTGACACAGACCCTCACTCTTGATTGGCCGAGCATCTCGGCTCAAGTTCGGCCAGCTGGGGGTGAGCCCCTAAATCATAAACTAGTTTTGGAGCACACTCCCTCCAGCCTCGAAAGGAATGTGTGTTCGGCCACAGGGGAAACTTGGCTCGTTTTTGCCTGTACGTGTTTGTTTCTTTAGTTTTCGGTCATTTGCTTTATTTGCTCGTAATTTGGTCGTGTAAAGCCCGTAGGTTGTCGAGCAAATATGGGAAAAAAGGGAAGAGCAACAACTTTGCTTTATTATTGCGTATGCTCCGAGCAACGCCTTTTGACCCAACCAAAAGCAGCCTTTGGGGCTCCAGGCGCCTCATGTTTTCGCGAAGCTGATTTTCCCTTTCAAAAGGTTGCCTGCAAGGGTTTGATGGGGCTTGGCAACCGAACATTTTGGGGTCCCATATTCCATCGATCGGACAGTAAAAAAGAAAAAAGGAAAGTAGCTGGTTGCCTACTGTATGGGTAATGTTGACCCCAGATTAATAAACCCCAGGTTGATTAATAGGGGGTGTCCCCTTTTAGTGGGGATTCATCACTTTTGGAGGAAGACCCCCCTAATAATGGGACAGGTTTATTAATCCAGGGTCAACATTAACTGGGATCCACTGGGTGGCATTCAAGCCACCTTGAAATTATGAGGGTTTATTCCGCACCGGGATCCAACCGCTGCTTGTTGGACAGTATCAGGCAGGATTCCACCACCATTGTTTACATAAGGATTGGCATCTAAATTGGGTCAACCATTCTAATGGAGATAGAACCGGGATGGTAAGCTTTTGGGATTTGGGTGGTTTCCTTGGTTACCCAATACCCGCTTATTTTAAGGCATGAAGCCGACCCTGCACTAAAAAAGAAAAACAGTATTCTGGAACACCGATCGGTTTTCAAAAAGCACACCACCTAAAAGGGACCGGGTCTGAGTTCTCAGAGGGTCCGTTCGTGCACCTCATATTTGCGAATTTGCTCGGGAGTTTGATGAACCACCTTTGTCATCAAACCCAAAACTGAAGTTATGGGGTACCAAGAAACCCCTCTGGGGTTGGGTGTATCAACTAAACAAAGAAATGTCAACTAAACAAACTTGAGCCAAACCCAACCCTTGCTATGGTTGTCCAAGACATACCACCGGAAAAAAAGGGGCCGGGGTGTTTGGAATGAGGGGTGAATAATCTTCCATTTGCTTAGGCCCCCTGCAAATAAAATACGCACGTGTTTCCAGTAGTGATAGAATATCTTAAAGACCAACAGGGGACAATAGAAGACATATTCGTTTCACATTCTGTCCAGATACCCATACCACTACATGAAACCACTGAGCGGCTGAAGGAAAAGTCCTCTCCTCTCGCGAGACAAGAAACAAACAAAATATAATATACAACTATATATATATATTATAGAAAACACAAAAACCTTGGTTGCTGTTGCCCCCCCTGCAAAAAGTTGAAAACTTTTTGGGGGTTTAGTGGAAAACACATATTTTTCAACCAACAAGTTAAAGTCTAAAGATCCGTTGCCCAATAGCAGTCAAGAAACAAGGACAACAACTGGTAACAAGGACAAAGTAAAGAAACCTTGGTAACTGGAAACATGGACCAAAACCTGCTGTTTGCCCCTCCTGTTTAATTTTGAGCCACAGCCATATATAGAACACACAACAACAAGGCCAAACAAAACCATAGAAAACACAAAACAGAAACCAAAAAACAAAAACAAACGCAAAGCCAAAGAAGAGAGAAACACAAAAACAACAAAGCCAAAAAGAGCCAAGGCGCCATGGAGCTGCCCCATTCCGATTCCAGGCTGCAGGGCTTCCCAAACGCCTTGCCGATGCCCAGGCGCTGCCAGAGCAAGGTCCGCTCTCTCGCCGTGCACTCCTCGGCGTGGAGTTTTGGTGTTGGGTTGGTTCAAGGAACTCCATGACCCTTAAAAATGACCCTTAAAAAATGGAGTCTCCTTTTTTTGTGTGGGAGTCTCCCTCTGACCCTTAAAAAATGGGTCAATGACCCCAGTATATTGGGTAATGACCATGGGTCATGGAGACTCCACGTACAACAAGGACAGTTTTGGGAAGCTCCCCCTTGTGTTTTGGGTGGGGTTCAAGGGAAACTCAAGGGACAGTTTTGGGAAGCTCTCCCTTGTGTTTTGTGTGGGCTTCAAGGGAAACTCAAGGAACTGCTTGCTTTGGGAAGCTCCCTTGTGTTTTGGGTGGGGTTCAAGGGAACTCAAGGAACTGTTTTGGGAAGTTCCCTTGTGCTTTGGGTTGGTTCAAAGGGAAACTAAAAGGACAGTTCTGGCAAGTGCACTTGTGTGTTGGGTTGGTTCAAAGGGAATTAAAAGGACAGTGTTGGGAAGTTACTCTGTGCTTTGGGTTGGTTCAAAGGGAAATTAAAGGGACAGCTTTGAGAAGTTCCCCTTTGTTTTGGGTGGGGTTAAAGAGAAACTAAAAGAACAGTGATGGGAAGCTGCCTTGTGCTTTGGGTTGGTTCAAAGGGAAACTAAAAGAACAGTGTTGGGAAGCTCCCTTCTGTTTTGGGTTGGTTCAAAGGGAAATTAAAGGGACAGCTTTGAGAAGTTCCCTTTTGTTTTGGGTGGGGCTAAAGGGAAACTAAAAGAACAGTGATGGGAAGCTCCCTTGTGCTTTGGGTTGGTTCAAAGGGAAACTAAAAGAACAGTGTTGGGAAGTTCCCTTTTGTTTTGGGTTGGTTCAAAGGGAAATAAAAACGACAGCTTTGGGAAGTTCCCTTGGTTTGAGACGAAACCGCCTTTGGTGATTAAAGAGAACTTCAAGGGACAGTTTTCGGGCAACGAGGCAAACTCATATGGGTGCACGGTACTCCCCCCGCTTTTCGGGTACTCCCCCGCCTTTTTACAAAAGGAGCCCAAAAAGAAAGCCCAAAGAGGACTTTACACATCAAGGACTTTGGGCTCGTGTGTCTGGAGGTTATCCTGTTTGGGGTTGAAAACAAATATCGTACATGCCGTTGTCTGGGGTCAACTAAACTGGTTGACGGGAAGCCAGACCCTCTACATTTGAGGCATACCAATATGGTGTTGTCTCAGGAATCGGAACCCACAAAATGGGTGGTATGCTCCCAGTGTAGAGAGTTTCGGGCCCACACAAAAAAGCACAGCTCATATTTTGGCTCGGCCAGAATAGAGATTTGAACCCCGCAAACTCAACCCCAAAAAAGGGTAACTCCAGAAAGACCGATATTGATAGAATGGCTACGAAGAAGAGAGGTTCCTAAAGGTCGATTGTATACACTTGTATGAGTGTGTGTCCTCTGTAAGAGTTTAACTTTCTGTGGGTCCGATGGAACATCCACTGCTTCCAAAAAAGTGTATAAGTCTAAAGATCCAACCAAATAGCCATAAAGGATCAGCCTTTGACGGGGCTTAATCGCATAGTGGTCCAACTTGAAAGAGGGTCCCTATTGGAGGAGATCTTTCAGTGAGTGGGAATCCCCTACAGTAACAGGTTGATGGAAATTATGTGCTGCCACTTTTACAGCCACTCTACAAAGCGTACTAAATCTATGTTTTTTTACTTATCTTTTTGGCGGGGAGGCGGGGGACCGGGGGAGAAACTGTATCCTTGCGTCCGCCCAAACACCTCACAGGGTGGATCCAATTGCCGCGTAGGTAACCTGGACTTGTACCTCTAGATTTTATGATTGCTCAGGTTAGGCACCACAAAGGGTGACCCTATCCACTGATACGTCACACAACACCCAGAGTTGAAACTCATCTTCAAATGGCACCTAATCAAAGGCTGATTGTATGAACCCATGGCCATTTGGGACCCCTTGCAGGCAGATATCCAAAAATAAAGAATAACTAACGGCCAATTAGCCCATGAACAAGGGGTTCATAGCAAGGGGTCATAGACATATATATATATATAGGCGTATCCATTCAGCCCATTCACCAAAAGGCGATCTTGAGATCACGCAAGGGGAATGCGCAGCGCCCTGTAATTATCCCAGGGATTTGAGGAATCTGCAAATGGCAAATCCCCTTGAACAAAACCCAACACCGTAAATATGGGGTACCAAGGGACCCTCACAGCATTGCTTCAAAAGGATGTAGAACGTTAGCCCAACAAAAAGTCCAAATGGGGCTGAACCTGAGAACCAATGTTGACACCGGATAAAACAACGTTTTGTTTATAGAGAGTGTTCCCTCCAAAAGTTGACCCCCCCTAAAAAGGGGCACCCACTAATAAAACCAGGGATTTATAAATCCAGCGTAGATCCTATCATTGGAACCGGAAGCGGCCGACAGCCTTTTCCAGCGTTGTCAGAAACATGCGTGCATGGTGGGAGCTTTGTCTGAAACAAGGCTCAAGCAAACAAATGGAGACGTGTTTCTATTTTCGAAATAGCTGAGCTACGTCAAAAATCTCTGGGCTGCTGGTCATGACTTCCTTCCAGAAGTCTCATTTGCGCAGGTTTAGGCCTTGCTAACAGCCAAGGCCTATAGGTCGGCCGACACGGTTCTGGTTTTTTCGGGTCGAAGGCTACCTGAAGTTCAAGCCATGCACCTGAAGCCAATATCGCTTGGACCTTTCAAGTGCCAATCTCGCAATGTTCGAGTTCTCGAGGAGAGGTGCTCTTGGTACCCCATAGTTACGGTTGTAAGTTTAGTTCAAGGGGATTTGTCAATTGCAGATTCCTAAAATCCGCGAAAATACGAGGTACCAAGGGACCCTCTGGGAAATTGAAGGCTTGGACCTGTTCTGGCCTTTACGGCGTTGGGGTTTCTTCGAGACTTGTCCATTGCAGATTCCTCACATCCGCAAATATGAGGCACCAAGGGACCCGAGGAATTGGGTACTTCAGACGATCGATTCACGTGAGGAACAAGCTGAGCGGGGGCTTATACAACGGCCAGCTGGGACAACTTAACGGTAAGCTGGGAAAATATGGGGTCACTAAGCACTGGCTGAGTATCCTAAAGTATGCCAACAACCTCGTGTCGACCACGGAAACTGTCTACAGCTCAGGGGTCACATGCATACAAACTTCACGCCGATCATGGCCATCATGACCGTATGGCGTATGGTAACGATTGTTATACATTTTCCTCGTGACTCACCAGCCCTCAAATCAATCTAAAATCCTACACAGCCCAGACCCTCTAGCAAACCCAAATGCGAGAAGGAGCCTCACGACACGTTTTCCTTCGGGCTTGCATTCTTTGCCGGCACGCCCCTATCTATGCGAGAGCGAGCTTCACCGCTCTTATTCCCTCATTCCTAGGTCCTCCAGCAGAGAGGTTAGAATAAGGGTACCAACTTTTTTCTGTAGTGTATTTTAGTAGTTTGGAACCCTCCCAACCAAAAAAGGGGTGAAAACGGGCACCTAGCCGGGGGCCTAGCTCTTTCCATTTGCGTTAAGCCCCCTGCAAAAAATATATATGTCCAGCAGTCGGGAAGAACCAACGATAGATGCAAGCTGCTGGAACTGCTGCGGCCGAAAACTTCCAGCCGGCTGGAAGCTTCCTGTAAAGCGACTCATCAAGGCGTGCTTTCCGCCGGCGCCGCTGGGTTCCTGTTGCCCCTCTGCGAAACAAAAATAATACATGTGGCGGTCCAATGGAAAGTCCCCTATTTTGCAAAAAGTCCAAAGATCCAAAGATCCCACCAAATGGCTATAAAGTACTCCGCTGGGTTGCGAGCTTGCGCCCATGTTTGGTTTCGCAACCTCGCAGCCGCCGGCTGCTGAATTTTTTCCTTAAGCCTCGTGCGAACACACGGCTGTGGTCAATACGGTAACCCCAAAATGGCATGGCGCAAGCCCTGGTCAATGGAATGGACTAAAACCTGCGGTCCAATTCCTGGTGGTTTCAGATTGACTCACACGTCGAACCACCCGGGTCGAGCAATATCTTCGGCCCAGAGTCGGTGCCCTCATTCATGATGTCATTCTCCAGCCGCATGGCAGAGGCGCAAGGAAGCCTGGCCAAATGGAAGGCAAGCCCTGAGCGGAACCCAAAAACCTGTCCCCGGAGTCTCCGGATCTGACCCGAAATAAAAATGGGTCAATGACCCCCGTTACTTTGGGTAATGACCAACCATTTCTTAAGGGTCAGAAGGAGACTCCAGGTCTCAACTTCTTGCTTGGCACGTTCATCTCAAGCCGGAAACGGAGGAAGCGAGCATACTTTCAGTGCAAGCGCTGGACCTTCCAAAAATATAAAAACAATGGCCTTTTGCCATATGGCTGTGAGTCAAAATTGAATCACCAGGGGACCGCAGGTTTTTGTCCGTGTTTCCTTTTACCAGGGTTCCATTTTGGGTACCTATTTTTGATCCACAGCCATATCCTCAGATGTCATCCGTTCGTTTAATTCCAATAGCGAGCTGGACAGAGTTGGCAACACAGGAAGCAGTTATGTACATTGGCCCAAGTTTGGCTACACCGATGGCTAGGTCGTCGCTGGGCGTTTTTGTGCAGTTTTCAGTTTCGAGCAAACAAAAGCTCATCTAAGAAAGCTCAATTAGAAAAACAATAAATTGGAACTTTGTTCTGGTGTGTGTCCGCAATTTCCGCTGATGTTTCACTGGTTTCCGCTCATTTCCCGCCGATGTCCGCTCATTTTCCGGGATAAAACTTGCCCAAATCATGGTAAGTCAAGGCTTCCGCTCATTTCATGCAACGAGCAAACAAAAGTGCCCAGAGCCCTAAACTGGAAAAACCATTTGGAGGACAAACCAGCATAGCTGGTAAGACCTGGTACGCATTCACTTTACCCGTAGGTGCTGGCAGGATACTCCTTGGGGTTGTTTTAATAGCTTGGGTGCTCTAGCTACTTAAGTAGGTGATAAGCCTGGTTATCTACGGGGGCTATCCCTGGTTACTCCGCTTATAACAATGTTTACGTGAGAGGGCTTAGAATCAGCTTCCTGGCGGTTTTGAAGGGAGTCTCTGTTCATCGCAGGGTGATTTTAGGGGAAGGTACCAAAAACCCGACTTAGATGGTCTGGGACATGGCTAAATGTTTAGTCACCCTGGTGTTAGGCGACTTACAACCATAGTAGGTGGGTTGCGTCCAGGCTACAAGCAACCGAGTGCCAGGGATGCCGTTTGGGTTACTGGCCCCTGGAGCCCAAGCCACCTTTTCCGCGGGCTGGACGAGACATCGCGGCTCGTCTTCATTCTTTGGGGGAGCAATCGCAGAATCCACCAGGCTCAATCAGCGATTCCCCTTTTGGTAGGGAAGTGATCTCTAGTCATCCATTTGCTTAAGTTCCCTTGGGAAAAAAACCGTGATAGATTCCCATTAAAACCAAGGAAGTAGTGGGGTCTGTCTGAACATGGATTTCCAGATTCACAGGCTGACATGTCTCCCGATCCTGCGAACAAGGGCACCAATGGCACAATATTGCACAAGAGAAGGACCTGTTTAATCAGACATGTCAATCAACGACCCTTCGGAACCAAAATGAAGATCTCACTGTGAGTGGACAAAACCTTCGCACCACTGGGGATAGGTGGCTCGTCCCAGTACTGAAATCGGCTTGCATCCGTCCCAAACGGTGTCGATCGGCGTGGATTGTGTCCATTCATAATATGGGTGTGTGATTTTGAGGGTACCCCCATTGTTGTGGTTGTTTAAAGGAAAGGCAAAGGGAAAGCCCTCTTTCCATTGTCGGGAACGCGGAGAGCGCTTGTGGGAGGTTGTTCAAGAGGGAAGCCAAGCTAAAACTATAGATTCAAGGGTTACCGGTTTGGGGCCCAAAAGGAAACAACAAACCGTCCAAGTGCGCTGCTCGCACATTTTCACGCTTGAACAGCCACACTGCGGATGCAATGGATGTAAAACCCCATACTGACCGATCAAATTCTTCACCCCCCTCTGCGTGTTAAAGGGGCCTTTCACAAAGCAGCCAAACAGTAACACAACAGAGGGAGAAGGTCAGGGGAACCATTGTTACATGCAAACCATGACAGTTGCGCTTTCAGCGCCACTGCCACGTAGAATAGCTACCGCTACTGTTGTCCCATCCGCTCCAACCGGACCAATTCTGCCAGCTGCCTTGGCTCCAATGCTCACCCTCGCGGGCGGCGGGAGCTCTTGTCTCGGCATAGCGAGCGGCATTGCGAGCAAGGTGTTTGCTGCTCTCGTTCCTCGAAAATTCGATCGAGTTGCGTGCATACCGCTCATTCTGGCTGAAAATCCAGTCCATCTCGTTGCGGAGGTTGTCCAACGTGTTGCTTCGCAGATGGATGATGCCATTCCAACAACCAATGCTGCGAGGCTTGTCTTGCTCAAAGACCACGTTGATAAAAGCTCTTGGGCTGTAAGGCATCCCTTGGAACATAATGATCCAGCGAGAGGAAAGCGCATCTTGAAGTTCGTTGGGCAAGAACTCCAACTCTGTCTTGATATACGCGAGCCTTGCGATTCGCGACTCCGAAGTTGATCCAAGGCCAACTCCCAGAGTGCGCTGGGCTTGCGACTGCTTTGGAGCAGCCAAGACGAGATTTGCGCTCAACTCCATGCGGAGCATGTCCGCCTCCCGACGGCCCACCTCAAGCATACGAACCCTGTATTGAAGGTCGAGTTCATAGCGATCAAGCAGAGAGTGATAGCCGTTCTTCAGGGCGGACTTGTGCTTCTTCCGTGCCTCCTGAATAACAGCACTGTCCGGGGAGTTCAAGCCACGAATGATGCTGCTACGATCCTCCTCGCGGAGGTCAAATGTTCCCACGGATGCCAGGACCTGAGCTGTGACATGGGTGCTGAGGCCCATCTTCTTCAGCAAATTGGAACGCTGCACAATGTAATTCTTCTGTTGCTCTTTCAACAGGCGTGGGTTGAGGGGAGACAACTGCCCACATGATGAGCAGTGCACCTGCCCCTCGAAGACACTGTTGTTGCAAACCGGGCACGTGGCGACATTCAGCTCAACGTTCTCCATTGGGTTGAAAGTCTTCTGTCTCTTCGCTTCCCCTTGCGGGGCGCGAGGAGAAGCCACATTTGTGCGGGTTGTAGCAATACGTTCCAGCGCTGTAGAGCGATCATCAACCACGGCTTGGTCGCGCTTCATCCCCTGGGGTTCATCCTCAGTCGCCTCAGCTGGTGCACCTGCATCCGATTGCTCGGAGCGAGTGTACCATACATCGCCATTTGTAGCGTCCAATACAGAAATAATCGTGTAGTTGGGCACCTTGTCGCGCGTAAGGACGCCGTCGCTCTCCGTCTTGAAAAAGCAAAGCCCTGCGCGAATGGCCATCCTGAGGTCGATCTGTATCTCCAGGGGTTTGTTCGCACGTACACCTGAGATGTAATTTTCGTTCGTGCTTGGGACGTCAGCGAAGAAAACGTGAGGTCTGCCTGTCTCGTGCTGGTCCCCTCCTCCTGGAAGCAGTCCGTTCCGCATGATGTTAGCGAAGTTACGCTTATCAGTGCGGTGATAAAGCACCGTAGGAGGGCTGCTGCAAACGTTCCAGCCAGACCAGCGCCCGAGGTCGGTCCCCGGGTTCACGTACCACTCCTTCGCGATGCCGGAGTCGTCGATCTGGAGCCAGTCCTCATGGCCTTGAGAGGCCTTCAGCTTGAAAAGCCAATGAGAACATGGAACGTCTCCGCACCGGCTTGCGTCCGGGCAACCAAGCCCGATGAACCTCTGCTTCTTGTCCAGCTTGAAGATGTCCATGATATTCTGCATGTTCCATGGAATGGGATGTCGCAGCTCCTTGCGAAGCGCGAGTCCCAGGTCTTCGAGGTCCATGTAGCCGTCCTCATCCATCACATACCCGCATCCTTCTGTTCCACGACCACGGAGGATCTTGGAGATGCACGTCAGGGAACGATGGTATTCGTCACTGATTCTCCTGACGGAAGGGTCGTAATCAAAGGAGGGCTGCTTGATGATGTCGAGTCTCTTGGGGCCCTCACCGTAGTCGACATACTTCACGCCATCATGAATGCTATACACCCAGCAGTCATAGTGGCCCCCAGTCACGCTCCTCCCGTAGGAGTCGAGTGGTACCGGCCTGCTCGCCTCCTCGTCCCTTTTTGCCACCGCAGCCGCCTTTGCACCGGCTTGCGCCGGGCGAACACTTTCGGAAACATCAGCACCGGAAGGCTCACCTGTAGTTGCAAACTCGGCTGGGTTGACGGGGGCGAAATCGAGGGGCTGCCGGACTTCCACTTCTTCACGGGTGAAAGGGAGCCCGATCATCTCTGACAAAGAAACACCGCACTTCGTTAGCGTCTCCTTGCAGTACGCGAGAACCTCAACGTTGACTGTGCAATCTTCTTGGTGGCGCACCTCGAGCACATCGATCGGACGCATGGTGCAATCATGCGAACGTGTCAGCTCGGCTACGCTGCCCATTGCGGGGCGCAAGATAGAAAGCATATACAACATGTGATGGGTTCCGCGCATGAACTGGACGGTCTTCGTGATGTTGTCGTCACTGAAGCACATATGATACCTGTCCAGCAAATCGATGGTCTCAACAAAGGGTGTAGCATCTACGTACACAAACATATGATTGGGGTCGCCGATGATGTAATCCCGGACTTCCGTCATGAAACGGTCCCAAATCATAGAGAAGCCGTAGAGATAGCTTTTCGCGCCGGTCATGGCTCCAAGGCATGCGCAGCCCTTGCGGGCCGCGAAGTCCCTGGTCCAAGCCAGGTGCCGTTTGGAGTCAGCAAGAAGTTGACCGAGCTCGCCGGTGGGGGCATCAAATGGATATGTACCAGTGGGCTCGAGGCCGTCCTTCCCAACGAGCTCGTTGCCATTCCAGTAAATCATCGGAATGATGGTGGCTGCTGGGTAGTCGGTACGCACCTCGTCGATGAGGGCGGCCAACCGCTTGCACAGCTGTTGTAAGCCCTTGCCCCAAAGCATTTCTGACCTCCATGCACCGACACGCGCCGGGCGAGAAGCATCCAAACGCTCCGCAAAGTCATACTTGCGAAGCTTTTTCTTCTTGCCCG